TTGGAGGTTAAATGCAATTAAAGACATCGGTCATTCTGAAACTTCAGAAGAGAGGGAGCTGTTTCTTCCAACTAAATCCCAGAGAGAACATCAGCTCTTTCTAAAGTAGTCCTAATTTACGTTCAAATAGTTAATTAGAAAAAGAAATTTAAATAACCTCCATTTCTGGAAGTTTACTTTATTGAAATTATCTTGAAAGGCCCTTTGACATTCGCTATGGCTGAACATGCCCTTTTGAGATTCCCAATGAAGAAGTAAAGTGTATTAAACCTTGCATTAAAAGATGCTGGCATAATTAGTGGTGGATTTAGCCCTAATTAAAGCAAAGCTATAAATAGTCTTCTCTAGTATATATTAAGATTATCATTTCTTCCATTCCTGGGCTATTGCTGACATAGCAAGCTACTATTAGAAATCAATTAGCAGCAGCGTTTGTAGCATGTCGGACAGTGCTGATCTAGAAACAGGCTGCCTGCACATCCTGAAAGGCTCAGAGTCCAATGCCATTTTTGCAATACAGGCAGGGAGCCTCAGCACTCTGCTTCTACCCCCAAATCCAACCTTGCACAGAATCCTTGCCTGTAAGATACGTGTTGAGTTTTAACCTACCAAGCACTGCAGGGTTCAGCCTCAAAAGGTTTCCAAGAGGAAAACGAGAATTCTGTGAGGACAAAACAACCCGATCCCCAGAAATACCATTTGCCACCAGTTTTCCTAAAGGATGGTTGTTTGCTTTAGAAAAGGTTGCTCTCACAGACCTCCCTGACCTTTACTGTACTGTCCTTCCAAGGGAGGAGCCAGCTAGGGTATTTTTAGCCCCTCTCTTTCCTGAAGGAGGGTCCTGAGATGCCCCAGTGAGGGCTCAGCCCTGAGCCTGAGCACCGCCCTCATCTCACAGGCAGCCTCTGCAGCAGCCAGGCAAAACCTGCCAAATACACCTTGTATGTGTATTTGGCAGGAGGGACAAGCCCAGATTTTGATGAGCTGCTGTACTGTCTATTCACAGGCAGTCCCTCTAAATATTTCCCCTGGAGACTTCTTGGCTTAGAAGTGGATCTTAGCGGAAGCAGGCAATACCTGCAAGACGTTTGCTGACATCCAGCAGAGCTTGGCCACTCAGTTGACTCATCCGGTTGCTAAACTCTTTCATCAGGGATAATTTATCTGAAAGAGAAGCATTGATTTCTGCTCATTCCTCTGAGAAAGGAGGGTGGAGAGGGAAAAGGCAGAGACAACTGAATTTTGTAAAATAAAGTAAATTTCTGCCAGTTTATGAGTCCTTCTCTTCTTTCCTTCTTACTTGGGAGGAATTGAAATTCCAAAAGAATAGCTCTCATTTCACATTTGGGAATCCAAAATGGTCTGCTGTACCAGGAGCTGTGTGAAACATTTCATATCAGGGACCTCAACATTCAACTCACATGTAAGTGAAAAGGTTTGGCATGCCAGAGCTTTGCGGAAGTGATCTCCTCCCTTCCCTTCCCTAAGGAAAAGGGTGAGATGGCTCAAAACTTCACACATCTGTTCCCACTTTAAAGACAAGCTGTTCTTAAATCCTCAAGTTATCTGTTGGGATCTATGGACAAGACTCCAAGTTACTCTTACAAGAGAACTTACTGCTCACTGCCCCCCACTCTTGGGGGCTCCTGTACATCTGTGAAATCAGATCTCGGCAGAGAGATTGGAAAAAAAACTCATTTCCCAATACTT